TGCTAAGACTTTTTTTGTGGACTAACATATGATCCATCTTGGAAAATGTCCCATGTACTGATGAGAACAATGTATATTCTGCAGTTTTTGGGTAGAATGTTCTATAAATGTCTGTTAGGTCCATTTGTGCCAGACTCCTGTTTAATTCCAGGTTTTCTTTGTTGATGTTCTGCCTTGATGATCTGTCAAGTTCTTTCAGTGGAGTGTTGACATCCCTGGCTATTGTGATGCTGCTGGTTATTTCTCTGCTTAGATGTAGTTGAATTTGTTTTATGAATCTGGGACCTCCTGTGTTAGGTCATATATACTTAGGATTATTATAGCTTCATGCTAAATTGCTCCTTTTATCATCCTTTATCATTATATAATGACTGTCTTTGTCTTTTTTTTTAGCCATTGTTGTTTTAAAATCTATTTTATCTGATACGAGAATAGGTATTCCTGCTCTCTTTTGGTTTCCATTTGCATAGAATATATTTTTTCCATCTCTTTACCTTGAGTTTATGAGAATCCTTGCAAGTTAGATGGACTTAGTGAAGACAACATATATTTGGGTTATGTTTTTTCATCCATTCAGGCAGTCTCTATTTTTTAATGGATCATTAAGACTGTTTATGTTCAATGTTAGCATTCATATGTGAGATACTGTTCTTTTTTTAATTTTTTTTTATTTCAGCATATTACGGGGGTTCAAATGTTTAGGTTATGTATATTGCCCTTCCCCCACCCAAGTTAGAGCTTCAAGCGTGTCCATCCTCCAGACGGTGCACACCGCAACCATTAGGTGTGAGTATACGCATCCCCTCCTCCCCCCTCCCATCTGCCCAACACCCAATGAATGTTATTACTATATATGCACTTAAGTATTGATCAGTTAATACCAATTTGATGGTGAGATACTGTTCTGTTTATTGTTTTGAATGACATTATACCTAGTTGTCTTATTTTCCCTTTTGTTACTATTTTATAAGGGTTGTGAGCTTTAACTTTTGGTATTTTTACACGGGTGGGTATTAATTGTTTATAAGCATCGCCTATAGTGCAGGTCTAGTGGTGAAAAATTCCCATAGTGTTTGCTTGTCTCAAAAAGCCTTTATTTCTCCTTCATTTATGAAACTTAGTTTTGCAGGATACAAAATTCTTGGCTGGCAGTTATTCTGTTTAACGAGACTATAAATGGGACCCCAATCTCTTCTGATTTGTAAGGCCTCTGATGAGAATTCTGTGTTAGTCTGATGAGTTTTCCTTTGTAAAATAACTTGTTGCTTTCATCATTAGCTTGCTTTGCATAGTCCCATAGTTTTTTGCAGTTCTTGTACATTCTGCTTTTTTCTTTTTTCTGCAGTTTTGACTGACTGAGTTATTTTGAAAGCCTTGTCATCAAGCTCTGAAATTCTTTCTTCTGCTTGGTATAGTCTGTTGTTAAAACTTTCTGCTATATTTTGAAATTCCCTAAATGACTCTTTCATTTCTTTAAGTTCTGTTACATCTTTTCTTGTGTTACCTATCTGTTTAGTGAAATTTTCATTCATGTCTTAAATTGTTTTTTTGGTTTCCTTGGGTTGGTTTTCTACCTTCTCATCAATCTCATTCATCTTACTTGCCATTCATTATGAAATTCCATATCTGTCATTTCAACAATTTCCTTTTTTGTTGGAGTTCATTGCTGGAGAGCTATTGTGATCCATTGGGGGGTGTCAAAATAGCCTGTTTTTTTAATAAAAAAACAGCCATAGTTTTTATGCTGATTCTTTCTCATCTGGGGCCTCTTCTCTCAGCTCAAAACAGATAGCAGATATGGTACATCTTTTCTCCTCTGCTAGACCTCTGTTGCTTGGTGAAGATAGAGATGGGTCCCTGGATGGCATGCTTATGTCATACATTGGAAGATTTCCTGGGCAAGAGAGGGGCAGAAGCTCTGTGAGCCTTTAACACTGCTGCTCTGCTGCATCTCCCCTGTTTTCCCCTGATTATCACAGGGCCACTCTGGCAGGGTGGGTTGTGGGGCAAATGCATACACATGGTGGGGCTGGTATGCAGGATGGGGCATGCATGTAGGATGGGGTGGGCCCTAGGGGTGTGGCACATGCATGGGAAGGGGTGAGCCTGTGGAATGGGTTGCATGTGTAGGATGGCATGGATCCATGGCAGGTGGTCTGCCTAAGTTCAGAGACAGAAGTTACACTGGCTTTCGTCCCACTTGGAGCCTCCTACTTGGCAGCAGAGGTGGTCCAGCCACGCTGACAGTGGGTGGTGGGTGCTGAGGGCTACAGGCACATGCCCTACCAGTGTCTCATGGGAAGTGTGGCTGAGCAAGGTCACCCAGGCCACAGAAGTAGCTTGGGGTCTGTGGTCTCCTTCTCAACCCAGGTCCCCCAGTGGAGGTGGTGTGGGGGTGCATGGCACCTGCCCCCAGGATGTGTGCACGTGCTGCGGCTCCTTGTGGGAGCCTCCCTCCTCTCCCAGCAGGTGCGAGGGGGAGGTAGCAGCTATGGATCTGACTCCTGGGTAGATGTAGCACTATGGGGCTATGATGCCACAAGGGCGCCAGACACAGGGCCCAGGGCTGGCAAGCCAGCTGTGCCTTCTCTCTGGAACAATGCTGTTGTACAGCCTCCAGTCAGGTCTCTATATCAGTTCTATAGAGAACTATAGGTCTCTATAGGCCTCCTGTGGTGGAGGTGCCCTCTTGCAGCTCTGGTTGCAATGTCCTAAGGGGAAGTGTGGAGCCCTCCATCTGGGACGGTTTTCTTCTCTGTCCCTTCCCCACATGTGGGCACTTTTCCTAAGTACCTCTGATTGTGCTGGACATGTTGTCCCACTTCTCTCTTCACTTCACTCCTCTCACCTCTCTGTTGATTCTCAGTACTCTCTCCTAGATGATTGACAGGAAGGTTAATATCTGTTCTCCACTTTCAGTCCTTGACTTGTGAGTGGCATTGTGCAGACTGTTTCTAGTCTGCCATCTTAGCCCCTCTCAATTTTTGTATGTTGTACCAGCCTTGCATTTTGAGATAAATCCCACTTGATCAATGTATAATCCTTTTAATATGCTGTTGAATTTGGTTTGCTAGTATTTTGTTGAGGATTTTTGCATCGATGTTCCTAAGGGACATTAATTTGTAGTTTTCTTGTGATTTTTTTTTAAATCTATTTTTGGTATCAGAGTCATATTTACCACAGAGAATAAGTTTGGAAATATTTTCCCTTTATTTTTTAGAAGAATGTGCAAAGATTGATGTTCTATTTTTGAAATGCTTGTTAGAATTCAGCAGTGAAGCCACCTAGTACTGGGCTTCTCTTTCTGGGAAGTTTCTATTACTTATTCAATCTCTTTACTTTTTATAGTCTGTTCACATTTTCTCTTCTTGGGTCAGTTTTGGTAGTTCGTGTCTCTAAGAATTTATTGATTTCATCAAGGTTATCTAATATTTTAGTAAACAATTATTTATTGTATTTCATTATGATCATTTTTATTTCTTTATTTCATTTTATTTTTGATAATCCTTTTTATTTCTGTAAGGTCAGTAGTGATATCCCCTCTGGAATTCCTGATTTTAGTAATTACAGTCATCCCCTTTTAACTTGGTCAGTCTAACTTATCGTTTGCCAATTTTGTTGATTTTTCTAAAGAACCAACTTTAGTTTTACTAATTCTGTCTATTTTATGCTACTCTCTGTTTCATTATTTCTGATATATTCTTTATGATTTTCTTTCTTATGCTTAATGGGTTTAGTTTGCTCCTCTTTGTCCAGTTTCTTAAGGTGGAAGATTAGTTTACTGATTTGAGCTTTTCCTACTTTTTCAGTAAAAGTGTTTACAGCTATATATTTTCCTCTAAGCACTTCCATAGCTATATCTCATAAGTTTTGGTATGTTGTGTTTTCATTTTCATTCATCTCAAAATATTTTCTAATTGCATTTGTGATTTCTTTAACACATTGGTTATTTAGGAGTTGTTGTTTATTTTCCATATATTTGTGAATTCCCAAATTTGCCTCTGTTATTAACTGTTAAATTCTTTTTATTGTGGTTGGATTATTAAAGGAGTGTATGACAATAAAATGATTGTATGATTTCAGCCCTTTAAATTTATTCAGAATTGTTTTACAGTCTCATATATGGTCTATCCTGAAAAATGTTCCATGTGTTCTTGAGAAGTCTGTGGATTTGTCTGTCATTGGGTAGAATGTTCTATATGTGCCACTTGGCCTTTCTGGTTTGCCAGCTTCATTAGCTCCAGGTTTGAATATATGACCCAAAAGACAACCCAGGAAATTTTTTACTATGTCTTTTCCTGTGCTCTGAGGTCCCAGCTGGTTTATTTTTTCTTCCTACCTTTCAGAGTCTTATGTGTAAACACATGTGTATGTATGTATATATATTTAGTCCCCTATTGCCCAGCCCCAGAGATTTTAGCCGTATTTGGCAAGAGGAATAGGGTTAAACATACCTCTACATCTTCCCAGAGCGAGTTCCACTAATTTCAAGCTTCTCTCTCAAGGTACTGTAATCATTTTATACCCTAGCCAGGTTAATCACCATGCCTCACAGTTGCTCTGTACTTTTCTGCTTCTGTGCTTCTTTGCATCATCCCACACCTGCAATGTTCCTTCATCTTTATCTTCCCCTGCCCAGCTCTTACTCATCCTTTAAAATCCACATTAAGTGAAACTTTTAGAAAGTGGTTCCTGATCCCACAAGCTGAATAATCAAACTCTCTTTTGTCTATATTCGTAAGAACTTTATGTATCATCTGTCACATTCTGCTTTATGTCATAGTTGGTTTTATATATCTCTTCTTCTGAGTGACTTATAAACTCTGGTGGAAAGTTGAGGTAAGGATTAAATGGCATGGTATGCACAAGGCACTTTGCATTATCTCTGACTCATTGGAGCTATTATCAGCCAGTGCTCAAGAAGTGAATTCACTGAAATTTTAACTTGTTACTTCCAGGTTTTCCTTTAGCTAATAATATTTTTTCTGTGTGTCTAACAGAAAAATGGGTGGTGCAGCACCACCAGATAGCGGCTGGAAAGGAAGTCTCGAAGTGCCCTACAATGTTGGACCTGGATTTACTGGAAACTTTTCTACACAGTTAAGAGGCTACTTTAATTTTAACTCTTTTTAGGGGGAGTTTAAAAAAAAACAATTAAAGAAGATGACAGAAATAGTAAAATCTGTCTAATACCAACTGGGAAAGAAAAGAAACTCACAAGTTGAAGAGGGGAATACTTTTATATTGGTAAAATTGGCCAATGTAACTTTTGCCTATGTACAATTAGAAATCTTTTACACAATGATGAAATATACAAGAGTTGTTAAGGCTCAGGAAATGATACCCCATGCTATGGCTCTTTGGCATGCTGAACACTTTGAACTAAAGGAAATTGAAAGGGCTTAGAAGCAGCCTTAGAACCAAGGACTTTCTGACCTCCTGATTCTACTCCTAGGGCAGGGTGGAACTCTCTTTCTGAACTTCCCTTTTCTGAAGTTCCTCCAGAGGGAACACAGTTGCCTTAGATTCCCTCCCTGAAATTTTATTAGCCAGAGAAGATTAAGCTGATGAGGTAGGAAGGAAGACAGGAATGTCACCACACCTGAATAGACTTTGTCACAAGCTATTAACTGTCCTTTGGTCCTATTAAATTTCCAAAGAGAATCATTTACAAACCACTGTCTGCTCTTTGGACCCTCAATTCTCCTAAAAATCATTTACTACCCCTCAAAATTACCTTCATTCCCCCATCTCCCTATGCCCTATGAAGAGGGTGCTATTTAAGATTCAGCCTTCTGGCTCTTTTTTGAGTCTCACATATCGTTTGGCTCCTGTGTGCACTTGCATATTAATAAGTTTATATGCCTTTTCTCCCCTTAATCTATTGCCAGTTTATTTCAGCGAATTTGAACCTTCAGAAAGGGGAGGCAAAAGTTCCCTTAACCCCTACTGTGTTAATTTATTAACTAGGTTTTTAAAAGATCTGTCCTTTGTCTTTGCATTAGAAAAGTCAAGATGCACATCCACTCCAACAGTGAACTGACAAGAATTTACAATGTAATTGGTACTCTCAGAGGAGCAGTGGAACCAGGTAAATTAATTATTTGCTCAACAAATACTGATTAAGCAACTGTTATATGCCAGGTACTGCTCCCAGCTCTGGGAGTATGAGGTGAACAACAACAGCAAAAAGCAACTCTTTACCCTAATGGAACCTACCTAAATGCAAACTAGATAAATATGAGGTAATTTCATATTGTGATACATGTTGTAAAGAAAAGAAAAGTGGACCTTAAATTAATGAATCCTTTACATAGTTCTTTTTCCACAACTAAAGTCATCAATGAAATATATAGACATGTGATTTCTTTAGGATTTCAGATGACCTGCTAGTTAATACATTTTATATACAGTCTTAGTTCATTATGTTCCAGTTCCTTGGGAACTACTTGGTTATATATTTCTTACCAAAACAGATACCATTAAATCTCATATGTTCCTTATAAGCAGCTAGTGATTTCTTTTAGGAATCAAGAATATTGATATCCTCCCAATGAGTACTGAACAATGTGTAACTAGCTATTATTGATCTTATTGAGTACCCATTCTGTGTCAGCTCTGTGCCACTGGGTATGGAAGGATAAAACAAAGACACAGACCAGGGATAAGGAGAACAGAGTTTAGAAGGGGAGCCATACATTTAAGTGCGTGAGAAATGTTTTATCAGATTTGAAAAGATTGCTGTGAGAGCTGGGTAGGAAGAGCAATTCTCTCTTCCTATAGAAAATAACAAATGTTCGTAGAAGGAGAAAATATTGGAGTTGTACCTTAAAAATTGAATATAACGAGTAGGGAGTAAAGAACTTACTGTGTGGCCACTATGTTCTGAAAGTAGCAAAAACAAAGTGGTAATTAAGGTAAGAGAGGAATAATTGAGAATTACAGAAAGACGTGAATAAGGATAATTTTATAGTTTATTAATCACATACATACAATACTTACAATAATACATATGTTTGCTTTATACATTCATATTTTCTTTAGATAAAGAAAATAACATATATTAAAATTACAAATAATATATTTGCATAAATCTTCAGGAACCTTGCTATTTTTCTTTGAGTCATGAATGCGTTGTGCCTAGATGCTATTGAGTCATTTGCAATTTGCTCTGTTACTGACCTGAAATAACAAATAAGATGCCTTTTAGACAGATATGTCATTCTTGGAGGTCACCGAGACTCATGGGTGTTTGGTGGCATTGACCCTCAAAGTGGAGCAGCCGTTGTTCATGAAATCGTGAGGAGCTTTGGAACACTGAAAAAGAAAGGTAGTATAACAAAGAGCAAAATGGCCAACTTCTCTGAGCCTCAGTTTAGTCTTCTGTAAACTGAGTGTAAAAATACCACCTCAGCCATGACCATGTGTTGGTAAAAATACCAATACAATTATTAATGTTAGCTAGCTAATTGTATTGTTTATTTATTTTTGCATTTATTTATATACTATTTATGTATTGCTATTTATATATCAAATGATAATATGAAATGCAATTATATTGTTATTGGTGTCTCTTGGCAACTAAGAAGATGAAGGTGGTTTATCTTCGCTGACGAGGACATACCAGAATTAGATCATAAGTCAAAGCTTCCTGCTGAGAGAAATGTAAGCAGAAGTTCCTAGGGCTCTTCCAGCCTCACATCTCAGGTCAAGTGTCCTGAGTAACTAGGGAGAAAGAAGCTCTATTTAGAAAAATATTGGTTTTGCTGCCTAATGGGATTGTGTCCAAGGTTTGTTGTGTGTACTCTCACACCCCCAGCCCTGGCTGTGTTGCTCTCACAGAAATTAGATTTATAGTCTCAGCACCATCACTTCAGTCATTTTAGAATCTTCTTAACAAAAACAAAAATAAAATTTAAATGTTTGCTTTTTAAAATAATCATTACACATTGAGAGCAGAAACTCCATTCTCTTTGCTTATCCTGCAAACAAGGTGTCTAGTGGCTGTAAAATGTAATTCATATGTTTCTAGAAACTGGTGAGAGTATGTTAAGTTTATATGCTATTTATTTTTTTAGAAAAACTATTTTCACATGTGCTACCTGTTTTGAACTCACAGAAACCAGAATGAAGTCACCTAGTTATTTCTGTTATCATTTTACAGATAAGTTAACCAAGGTTTATAGAATCAAGTAATTTTCCTAGGGTTATATAGCTCGTGTGTGGCAGAATGAAAGAACAAGGGCTCAAACTCAAATTTCTGGCTACCAGTGCACAAAACAATGATGTCTCTATTTAAAATACAATGCAAAGATGCTCCATCTTCTTTTCCATGCATCTATCTTATATTTTAAGAAAAAAAAATAATGGAGACCTGAATTTACATAGTTCACAAATTAGTGTTTAATCTTACCACAAAGAGTTTTATGATTTAGCAAGGAAATTCCTGTGGTAAATACAAAACATCACTGTGGCAACTGTAGAGTATGCCAAAAAAGTGGAAAGATGAGGAATAATAATTAATAGG